AAAAAAGTTATGTCGTTTTTAACACATTCAATCTACTGCAGCTAGCGCCCTCTATGAACTTTAACCAAAATGTGAACAGATTTCAATTCCTCTACTCAAAGAACTCCAATCCCCAAAATTTTGTGAGGATATTTGCATTTGTTAAGGAATAAATAAAAAAACTAAAATAATATTTTACATTTAACACCCTGTATCTCTTTAACTATCAACTTTTGGACTAAGGTAAGTTAGGCTAAATCGCAATATTTTTGTTTCGAGAATCTACCCATGAATTTTGACCTATTAGCTCGGGACCACCTCGTATACAATTTTTTTGTAATTGTATAAAAAAATAAATTTAAATTAGTCATATTTATTTTGAAATTTGAGAAATTTAAACAAAATTTTTTTTATTCATACATTTTTTTTTATTAAATATAAATGTTTCTTCTACATCATGCGTAAGTATTGAAACCGCAAAATGTTATAGTTTAATTTAGTCGGACAAGCAAAAAAAAAACGATAATTTTGTCGGACAATTAAATTCTCAGATTAATGTTGCATTTTTTTAAATAATGACGCTTTTCTCCGACAGCGACAGCTGGTTATCACCAACCACCAACCATGTTGTCGTTAAGTCGACATCTTCAGAGCGTCGGACTGCAAAAACTTCTCAAGAATTTTGTCGGACAAAGAGATACTTTCATTTCAAATTTTATTACCAAACCCTCCCAGAAAAATCAGCTTGCTGGTTGTCACCAACCATAATGTCACCAAATCGACATATTTGGGGTGGCGGGCAAACTCAAAATACCCAACATTTTTGTCAGACAAATTCATTTAAACTAAAAANAATATTATTATACATTTATCAACGCGTTTATTAAAAGATTGTCTTGTTGTAAAGTATAAATCCTTAATGCGAAATGACTTTGCAGCATTTAAAACCTGCTACCAAAGTTCTTAACAGGTGTTTATAGTTTCTCTATAAACAACTGATTTCATGTAACCCTAAAAACGGAAGTCTCGGCATTTCCTCACATGTATGTACATACAATTTAAATTAAGATGTAATTTTAGGTACGAATAATACTTAATGGACAGTAGCATACAACTGATAGCAATAAGACAAGTGGAATCTGTCAATTATTTGATTTTCGTCCAAACTTAAGAAACTTCACCGCTAAATTAATAATAGGTAGGTACTTCTTTGTATTGTAATTTAATTCAACAGCATTGGAAGTTTCAAAGCCAAATATCTCGAAAACGGTGCGAGACAGCTAGTTTTA